CTCTTAATCTCGGGGTCGTGGGTTCGAGCCCCACGATGGGCGATGTTATTTTTCCTGTCGTAATCAAACTTTTTTGAAAATTTCTGTGCCCTACAACTCTCAGAGTGCTGACAAGCAAACATTTTAACGAATTGGAGTAACCTGGTTTCGTGGTGTAGTGGTTATCACGTCTGCTTAACACGCAGAAGGTCACGAGTTCGAGCCTCGTCGAAACCTCGGATTATTTTATTTTTTGACCATTTTTCAAAACTAGGATATAAAATATGCTGTGTGTGCTTGATATAATTCTTCAGTTGTCTAACACAATTGCAGTGCATGGTTCGATTTAAGGATGAATCCCGCTACCATCAGGACGTATCTTGTCGGGGGTGTAGCTCAAATGGTAGAGCGCTCGCTTAGCATGCGAGAGGTACCGGGATCGATACCCGGCATCTCCAAGCTTAATTTTTTTTCTTAATGCTGCACACTTGCTGCTACTCTGGAGGAGAAAATACCGCTCGCCCTTTTTCTAAACAATTTAATTTACTATCTCCTGTTTAAGAAATAAGAAAGAGAAGAAGCAAATAAGTAAGAAAATGTACCGATGAGTGAGGAAAGGTGGCAAGGAATATGATGCCCAGGCTGGTAGATTTGTTACCTGCCCACAGCTGAGCCCTAACCCTAACCCAAACCCCCAGATTTGCAAGATGCGGCCTATACGGTAGTCAGGCCACAACGGTTCTATGGTGTAATGGTTAGCACTCTGGACTTTGAATCCAGCGATCCGAGTTCGAGTCTCGGTAGAACCTTACTGTTTTTATTTTTAAAGGTTTGGACAGTCTGATTCGTCGTGTTTCTTGCCTACAGGTTCATTAATTCAGCAGCATTTCGTCTACTTGGGGTGGAATTTTCCCAGCTCCAGTGTCTCTTGGCTGTCTCCGTAGCGCAGCGGATAGCGCGCTGGACTTCTAATCCAGAGGTCGCGGGTTCGAATCCCGCCGGAGATGAAATTCAGAGAATATCTCTGTAATATTTTTAGTATAATTTCATCTAAAACTGCTGTGCACATAACTACTTAGATACCCCAATGTTTTCTTCGTAGGTAAAACAAAACAGATCTCTGGCTCCTATGGGGCTCGAACCCATGACATCCGCGTTATTAGCACGGCGCTCTAACCGACTGAGCTAAGGGGCCATTGCCGATGGTCGATGAAATCTTTTCAGAGTTATAAATAGTCTAAAGAAAACCTGAAAGCCATACTTGGTCGATATATTCGGCAAAGGATCAACATTATCGTCAGAATT